TCAGCTTCGGTTACACAGAGCAGGTTGGTTCTCTTTACTTCTTCTCTGATCTGAAGACGTTAACAGCTCCAGAACCCCTCAGATTATTTATTTATATTATAAGCTTCTGGTCCAGGATGTAACTTGGATTCTAATTATATGATGTTAAAGAGTAATTGCACACTTAAATGTGTTTATTTTATCTGTAAACTAAATATTATAACTCTACTTTGATGAAACACATCACTGCTGATGTTACATTTCTCCTCAGACCTCCCTCCTCACCTCTCCCCACACAATCTATCGTGTTCACTTTTCAATAACTGCGGTGTAGCTTTAAAATCCCAGCACAAGCCGGCGCTCGCGGTTCTCTTGACTAGAAATGATACTATGAGCCCATTAAAACATCTGGTAAGCAGTGTTAATGACTGATTAACACAGATTTGCACCTTCACACCACATCCCAAAAGCTGCTCTATTGGACTGAGACAGTAGCCAATAGAAGATGGACATGGCCGGCAACAATACTCAAGTAGGCTGTGGCATTCAAACAATGCTCAATTTGTACTAAGGGACCCAAGATGTGCCAACAGATTCCCCCCCTCCCCCACGCCGTGACACCATCGCCGGCAGCAGCCTGAACCGTTGATACGATCAGGATGATCCATGCTCTCACGTTGTTTACATTCTTTCATCCATCCATCCTTTGTCTCCTGCTTATCTGGGGGCCGGCTCAGCAGAGTACTCCAGGCGTCCGCTCCCGAGCAACATTGTCCGGCCCTTGATGGGGGGCCCAGCGAGGAGCTAGACAAGATATATAATCTCTCGTGTTCTGGGTCTTAACCCGCGTCTTACCAGTTGGACATATCCTCAACTCCCTCGCTTGGGGCAGTGACTCACTCCCAAAAAGGAGGGCACAATCCACCGGTTTCCGGGCAGAGAACCTCAGACTTTGAGGTACTGACTCTCATCCCGGCCGATTCACACTGGGCTGCAAACCGCCCCAGCGCATGCTGACAGCCCCGGTGTGATGGAGCCAACAGAACCACATCATCTACAAAGAGTAATGTTTATCCAAGCCGTAGCTTCCTGTTGTTGGCCTCCAGAATGGCGGCTGTAGCCCATCTGCTTCAAGGTCTAACATGTCGATCATTTTCTTGGAACAGGTGTACCATAGTCGGGTAGAACAAGAACTATGTGTTTAAGTATTTGTACACCAAAATGCACTGTGTTATCCCGCCGGTCACTTCTGTTACGAACATGTTTACTCATTCTATGACCACACTGAACGGAGTTCAGCACCAATACTAGAAACCTTAAAGACGACGTCTGCAAACGTCTTCATGTTAAGGTACTTTAGTATCCTCTTGTTTGGGAGCTTTCATGCAGCCTCTCGTCATAATGCAGCAGAGAAGTAAACCGCTCCGGTCATGTGACCGTGTAGACTAGTCATGTGACTCTGCATGTTTTTTCATTGATACCCTTTATTATTTCAATATTTGCTGGAAATGGATTGATTCATCATTCAGTAACATTTATAGAGCCTTACAACTGAAAGCTTTTTTTTGTGACCAATGGGACTTAGCTGCAAATGTATTTTTACGATTTTGGAACTTTTGTCACCAATCGAGCCAAACTCCATGGAAAAAAAAAAAAAACAAGCATTTAAAATGTTTTTTGTTTGTCGTCTTATAAACAGACCTGAGAAAGTATGATTTCAGGCCTCATATAAATCACCATTATTCTGTAGTTATTTCGGCATCTTTTTTTAAAATCAGTTTGGAAGTCACAGAGCGGCACTGGATGATATTATGACAGTGTTGGGTTGCTCAAAGTCTCTGGGGCTTTAACATGTACTTGCAGCAATATTGGTAATTTCAGCCGTGATTGATGACACATTGTCTACACGGAGATCAGACGCTCCTCCTCTCCGGCGCGTCTAGCTTCGCTAATGCTAGCAGAGCTATCTAGCTTCTTGTGCAGCCGGCCGGAGGAACGTTCTCCATTATTATTACATATTTAAACGAATCTGTAACCTCAGTCCAATGTATAGATTTACACTTTCACTGAATACAATAGAACTTAATCCATATTTATTGAGAGATCTTGTCCCTTAAGTTAACTTCAGATAGACGTCATTAATTCAACAGGAAGTTCAGACGAAGAAGAATTTAAATAAACTCACAAAACCACAATCTTACATTTACCTGCAAAAGTATTTTAGTTACATTTCCGTTGTTCATCCACTGAACTTCAGAAAAATGTCCATCAGATCACTAATGATTATATTTCTTCTTCTCTGTTTATGCGGATACAAACTACATCTGATTGGTTGCACGCATTATTATTGGTTTAAGTTTACTGATGTTCAGTAACGTGTCTGTACTTCTGTCCTGCAGACGTCCAGCAGCTGTTGGTGGTTAAAGAAGAGGTTCCCCCTGAGCAGCAGGAGTGGAGCTCCAGTCTGGACCAGGATGACCCAGAGCCCCCACACATTAAAGAGGACCAGGAGGACCCAGAGCCCCCACACATTAAAGAGGAACAGGAGGACCTCTGGACCAGTCAGGAGGGAGAGCAGCTTCAAGGTCTGGAGGAGGCTGATATCAAGTTCTCATTCACTCCTGTGAAGAGTGAAGATGATGAAGAGGAAGCTCAGTCCTCACAGCTTCATCAAAGACAAACTGAACAGATGGAAACAGAAGCTGATGGAGAGGACTGTGGAGGACCAGAAGCAGACAGGAACTCAGATCCAGATAGACATTTACAACTATCTAGTAGTGAAAAGTCTTCGCAATGTTACAAACAAGAAACTGAAGTCTGTGATGATTGGAATGAGACCAGTGAACCTCAGTCGGGTTTAAACTTTATGAAAAATAACGAATGTAATTCTCCTGAGAAACAATTTAGCTGCTGTGAGTGCGGTAAACGATTCAACCAAAACTCAAATCTTAAGACGCACATGAGAACTCACACGGGAGAAAAACCTTTCAGTTGCTCAGTTTGTGGTAAACGATTCGGTCAGAAGGCACATCTGCAGAACCATTTGAAGTGTCATACGGGAGAAAAACCGTACAGCTGTTCGTTTTGTAATAAATGTTTTGCACGCAGTGAACATTTACAGTTACACATGAGGACCCACACGGGGGAGAAACCATTCAGCTGCAATGTTTGTGGCAAAAGATTCACATGGCTTGGTCAGTTCAAAAGCCACAAGTGTGGTGGTGAATCCTCACAGTTTCATGAACTCTGGACCGGTCAGGGGGGAGAGCAGCTTCAAGGCCTGGAGGAGTTTCATACCGCCAAGTTCCCATTCCCTCCTGCCCCTGCGAGGAGTGAAGATGATGAGCAGCGGCCTCAGTCCTCGCAGCTTCATCGAAGACACGGAGAGGACTGTGGAGGACCAGCCAGGAACTCGGATCCAGATAGTCTTGGGTCACACGGATTGACATATAACTCATTCATTGGACAGTTCTGGTGATGTCGCCGTGTTGTTAAATTTTGTCTTCAATTTACTAGAAGTTTACAGGAAAATCCATAAAAGGGAGAAACAATTCTGTCGCTCACTTTCAGATTGAGGTAAAGAGTTTGTCAGTTAGCAATTAGCATTAATTATTACAGGTAAAAGTCCTGCCTGCATTGGAAAAGTATGTAAGTATTTAATTATGTATGTATTAAGATATCCTGTGTGACTTTTATATATTGTGGTGGAAAAAAATCTTTTTAACCTCCCAGTGAGAAATAATCACGATGGAACTTCTTAAAGTATTAAAAACATATTTATGTTTAAGCGATACAAGTTATAACTAAAAGAACCATACGATAAATTTCCACAACATATATCATTCGATTATTATTGTGTCATATCATGTGAAAGTTCCATCGCAAACATTTCATCAGTTACACGCTCCTGCAGATTCCTGCTCTACAACATCAGGAGAATTCGCCCCTTCCTCACTGATGAGATGGCGCTGGTGCTCATCCAGGTTCTTGTCATCTCCCACCTGGACTACTGCAACTCACTACTTGCCGGAGCCCCGGCGTCGGCCATCAGACCTCTGGAGCTTGTCCAGAAAGCTGCAGCTCGTCTGGTGTTCAATCGCCCCCCAAGTTCTGCCACACAACAGTTTAAGACTGGTGCTATAGTATATATAAGGGTTTAGTCTCTCCAGCTCCCTCTGACTTTAATTGTTTCCATTGTTACGCCCGGTCTAGGGGAACCTGGACGCAGCATAATATAAAGTCTCCCCCCCTCTCTCCCACTCCCAAGAACGACCATTTATGCTGTAATACAGTCCATATTTATTATTCATACCATTTGTAGTCATATACGTTAGGGTGACCCTGGCCCTAAACAATAAACAAAACAATCTTTATTAATCAACTACCTAACCTACTCCCAAACTTAACAAAACAAAAGACAGGCAGCTTACCTAACTCCCTACCCAAAACAGAAGGAAACAAAAGAGAGGCTCACCCCTACCACTACATGGACTGTTAGTTAAAGTATGTGCTCAGCGACAGCAGCACGGTCCGGTTGGGAGCCGGGGAGAAGAGAGAGAGCCCGGCAGACCTCCACAGGTGCCTTCTTATCAGTCCCCAGTCCAATCTGCTGTCATTTACAGGATACAAAGAAAACTGTCACACACACAGCACCACCCTGAGGCAGGGAGGCGCACAGCATGTATGATCATATATTATGACTCAAAGTCATAGCACCCCCCCCACTTAAGATCAAACATTTATTCCCTCCAAGAAATGTTTTCTCAACACCCTACACGGGACAACGCATCCGCTACAACATTATCCACTCCTTTGATGTGATGAATATCGATGTTAAAATCTTGGAGCAGCAGTGACCAGCGCATAAGACGCTGATTGTTGTTGCGCATACGGGACAAGAACACAAGAGGGTTATGATCAGTGTACACTACAACCGGTGTCGAGCTTGAACCAACATAAACTTCGAAATGCTGCATTGCCAAAAGAAACGCCAACGCTTCCTTTTCGATTGTGCTGTAATTCACTTGATGTTGATTAAATTTCTTAGAGAAATAACAGACAGGGTGATCAATGCCATGATCATCTTCCTGCAAAAGAACAGCACCCGCCCCATGAGTACTGGCATCTATCTCCATTTTGAAGGGACGCATAAAATCAGGTGCGGACAACACAGGCACACTGCAAAGCACCGCTTTGGCCGAATCGAATGATGTCTGACACGCAGCAGCCCAGACGAATTGGTTGGAGGGGCTCAACCACACTGGCAAAGTTCTTACAGAACCCACGGTAATACTCGCACATTCCCAGGAACCGGCAGAGTTGTCGCCGTGTCTCCGGCACTGAAATCCAGGATCGCCTGAACTTTGGCGGATAGAGGGCGCACCTGCCCCTGCCCCTGCCCCACCTGTTTTCCCAGATAGGTGACCACCGCCTTACCAAATTCACATTTAGCCAGATTTAACGTCAAGGAAGCATCCTCCAAACGACTGAATATCTCCCAGGTCGATGTATAGCACACAATATCATCTAGGTACGCCTCACAGTTCTTAACCCCCAAAAGAACCGTATTCACCAACCTCTGAAAAGTGGCAGGAGCATTTCTTAACCCGAAGGGCATGACGGTGTACTGAAGGAAATGATCAGGGGTTACAAAAGCGGAGACCTCGGCTGCACGCTGTGAAACGGGCACCTGCCAGTGTCCCTTCAATAGGTCCAGTTTAGTGACAAATTTAGCGGATCCTACTCGATCCACAAAATCATCCATGCGTGGGAGGGGAAACGAGTCTGGCGTGGTAACTGCGTTCACTTTGCGGTAATCGTTACCAAAACGAGGTGTTTGGTCAGATTTGGGAACCAGAAGCGAAGGTGAGCTCCATGGACTGGAGCTGGGCCCAGCCAATCCATTTTCCAGGAGGTACTCAACCTCTTTCTGAATGATAGCCCGCTTCACTGGATTAACACGGTACGCGTGCTGCTTAATGGGCTTGTTTTCACCAACATCCACATCATGCTGTAATACTGTGGTTTGAGTGGGTTTGTCACCAAATATCGATGCATAGCCACGAATGAGGCCACAAATATCACCTTTTGCTGGGTCTGACAAATAAGACAAATGCTCCTATTTTACCCAAAATTTGAGAGTTCTCCAGACACGGCACCGACACAAGGGGCTCACGCAACCCGTTCTCCTCGGGACGGGATGGTGGTGACACCACAGTCGCCACAGGGGATACACATGGCACAGGAACTGCAGATGGTATGTTGGAGTCATCACGGATGACATAGGATATGAGCATGTTGACATGACACACACGGGACTTTTTCCTCCTATCCGGCGTTCTAATTACATAATCTGTGTCACTTAACTTTCGCTCAACCTCGTAAGGACCACAGAACTTTGCCTGTAGACAAGAGCCAACCACCGGTAACAAGACCAACACCCGGTCTCCTGGAAGGAAACTGCGACTGAGAGCTTTCCTGTCATATTTTATTTTCATTTCAGACTGTGCGAAGGAAAGGTAGATGCGAGCTATCTCGCAAGCAGTGTGCAACCTCTCCCTAAAGGAACTCACATAGTCCAAAATGCTGTGTGCGGTGTCCGGCCCGTCCGCAAGCCACTTCTCTTGCAGCAGTCGCAGCGGGCCGCGCACCGTGTGCCCAAAAACCAACTCAGCCGGGCTAAACCCAAGAGACTCTTGTATAGTTTCCCGAATGGCGAACAATAGCAATGGCAGGCCCTCATCCCATTCCTTGTTGGACTCAACACAATACTTACAAAGCCTAGATTTTAACATCTGATGAAATCTCTCCAGTGCGCCCTGACTCTCTGGATGATACGCACTGGAGACCTGATGCTTAATAGACAACTCTGACATAACCTGGGCAAAAACCTTGGACATAAAGTTAGACCCTTGATCAGTTTGAATGCGTTTTGGCAATCCAAAGGTGGAAAAGAACTTAACCAATGCTTTCACCACTGCTTTCGCCTTTAAGGTGCGCAACGGCACTGCCTCTGGAAAACGTGTAGCGGCGCACATCATAGTAAGCAGATACTGATGACCAGCCTTGGTTTTTGGTAAGGGACCTACACAGTCTATGATGATATGCTCAAAGGGTTCACCAATTACCGGGATGGGATGTAAAGGGGCCGGAGGAATAACCTGGTTTGGTTTCCCCGTTATTTGGCAAACACTACAGGATCGGCAAAATTTTGTAACATCGGATTTTACCCCTGCGGCTTTCGAATAAATTAAGAAAGTTGTTTGTGGTCCTTTTGTTGTTCAGTCTACAATGAACATTTATTTAAACCAGATGTTGAATCAGAAAACGAATCAAATATAAAGCTTGAGTTTAATCTGTGATCTGTCTTCACTGTTTACATGTTGAACAAAATCTCATCAGTCCGATCAGCTGCAGCGTCCAATCACATGACTGATGAACAATGAGGGGGCGTGTCGGCCGTTAAAAGACTTCCTGTAAGTCTGTTCTCGTGGGTCCTCGCTCATGGCTCCTCAGAGATCCCTCCTCCCTCCTCGATCCTCAGAGGGGGCGACCGTGGCTCACTGGGTTAAGAGGGTTGTCTGGTAACCGCAGGGTCAACGGTTCGATCCAACAGTTCGATCCAACAGTTCGATCCAACGGTTCGATCCTCGACTGGGACGTGTCACGTGTCGAAGTGTCCCTGAGCAAGACACTCCCCGGGCGCCTGTCATTGGCAGCCCACTGCTCCCTATATACAGGGATGGGTCAAATGCAGAGGTCAAATTTCGTGTATGTGTATATGACAATATGTGTATATGACAGTGTGTACACATATGTGTATATGACAGTATATGACAATATACACATTTCTTTCTTTCTTCTAAATAAGAGCTTTGGGACTGCCGTCAATATGGCGGCGCAGAACAACTTCCGGTTGTTAGACCCTTCCGGTCAAGCCAGGATCGAGGAGCGAGGAAGTGAGAATTAAGGGACTTGGGATGTACCCTTCCTCGGTCCTGGGCAGAGATAAGTAATAGTGTGTTTGTAAACCTGTTTGTTTTGTTTTTAAGTTTAACTGTTTTTAAGTTTAACTTAAGTTTAACTTGACATGTATTTTATGGCCCGGCGAGTCCTGTTCAGTGCTGTGTAACATAACTGTTGTGCTTGTTGCTGCTATTATTGTGGTGTTCTGCGCTGCTGAGCTTTGTTGTGTTTAAATCTGCCACCACGAACGAGTAAAGTCTGTAAACTGTACTTTATTAGTTAAAGGACCAGTGCCACGGCTGATGAACCTGAGTTCTCCAGTCGGGCTTCTGTGTGATAAAATTACAGTTACTGTACTTTACTGCTGCGGTGAAGATCTGCCTCGTTTTAAGTGCTCTCTTCTTCTTTCTTCTTTTCAAACTGACCCACAAACAAACATACTCGCACAAACGCACTCTCCTCACCACATGGTTACTTGTTGCTTTTAGGTAGTATGATTGTAATTGTATAAAAGATGTTTTGTTTATTTACAACATTATTGAATTTGATCAGAATTGTTAAGATGAATAAACTCTGTTGTAGTTTTAAAGAGCCGTTTCTGTAATTATTCTGTGCATATGTGTCGTGATAATAGCTGAATGTAAAAGTCAGTGCTCAGATTTAAACCTTAACTGTTCACTCTAAATGTAGAACAGTACTTTGAATATTTGCAATTTTAGTAAACTTTTGGGACTTTATCCACAGTTTCGTTCTTGGACCGTGATCTCAAGGTGGGGCCAAGTTATACTTAATACATGTTAATACTAATGATGTTAATAATTTTATTAATATCAATAATTGTATTATTCACCCTGCTGCCTTCTGGAAAAGGATATACAGAAGTATCAACTACCAAACCACATTTCAAAACAGCTTCTTCCCTCTGGCTGTGAGACTCCTTACTTCATCCTCCATATATAATTTATATTGTGCTGTTTGTTTTCTTTCTTATGTAGCAAATTGGGACTGTGATCTAAATGTCGCTGTGCAACCCTTTCGTACAATGACAAATATTAGCCATGTAACATTTATACTTCCCAATAATCAAACCCGCTCCTGGCAGATCCCAACTAAGCTTTATAGTCTTATTTTTACTGTTAAAACATAAGTTTTCTTTTTTTCGGTAAAAATGAGGTGCCATTTCTATAATTGCAGGCCGTCCTGAGTCATATGACCCTAGCTGCAGACGTTTAGAGGCAGAATTGCAGAAAGATTTCTCACAAACCTTTTTATTTTCACCACCAGGTGTCCCTGTTTTTCCTCTTGTATATTGTTTTTCATGGTTTTGAGAAAATGTGATTTAGGTTAGAGGTTTTACTTGATTATTTTTGTAGCCCTTGACTAGTAATGTGCATCTTGAACCAAATACATACTGTAATGATTGTATCTTTATGTATTTGAATAAAAGGAATGAAATCACACAGTTCTGTTTTACATCGTTGAGGGAGCAGAGGTGCAGAAAATGATCAGAAGGAAATTAATTGGTGATATTTTATCTTCTACAAAAACAAATAAATGTTAGAAAACAATCACGAGTCGTCTCTTCCCATGCCCTACCCACACCTGTTACATATGGAAAAGATGGAAGGTAACTGAAGATTGGAATAATAATTTACGATTTCTTATTGTATGTAGTATTCTAGTGCTTTTATTTTGAAGGTAGCATACCACGCATCAGCGGAACCGGATGTTCCTCCATTATCAACATGGCGCCTAACGTTGTCAGCAGCAGCAGCGTCTCTTTGTTGTGCTGATAAAGTCTCAGTTAGCTCCATCAGAGTCTCTGTGTGTCTGGATAAACATGTCTGAATGGACTTTTAGCTCTTCACCTTTTTTTCTGGATGTTTTTCCTCTGACTCATCTCCCGGTAGCCTACAAAGCTATTGGAGTTAGCTTAGCATGCTAGCTGGGACGGAAGTGATCCACACAGCGCTAGTCAGAGTTTAATGAGAGTAAACGGTGTTTGTGACGCAGTTTGTGTGGTTGTGTGGAAATGTCTAAAGTCCAAATGCTGAGATGTTTAGTCAACCAGCGACTAACTGCGGCTGCTGAAGAGATATTTGGTGTGTTTGAAAGAACGATAGCAGAGTACGAGGAGGAACTCTCTCGTTCAAAAGAGGAGAACGAGCGACAACGGAGACTACTGGACGGTGATTTCATGCCTCAGCTTCGGTCACACAGAGCAGGTTGGTTCATTTTCTTCTTGAGTTCTGTCAGCATCTGTAAGACCGGAAGTATTTCAACGTAAACACGTTTGTTCTCTTTGTTAGCACCAGCACGGGGGTTTGCAGCTCCAATGTTTGCTGGTTCTTGACCAATAACGTCCCCAAGATGAGAACCTGTAGCTTGTTGAAACCTAAAATATGTGTGAATTACATATAAATGTTACGCAAAATAACTACAGTGTATAATACGGCTGTAGGTTTTCCTTTGATGAGCAAAATAGATCATACAAAATATATTGTTGCACGGCATTATATTATTTAATTGCATGCATAATGTGAATAAACATTTCATAGCATCAGAAAACTTTGATAACTCAGAATAATCCATCACAAAAACGCCTCTTTGCGGCCATTTGACCTTTCCTGCCAAAACCAAGTTTTGTATTTCTCCTCCTGAACCAAACATGACATCAGAGAAGGTGAACCTCGTGTTTAGATGGGCAACGATCACACTGGTTCATATGCAACATAATGAACAGGTGAATAGTAAATGATGAATTCAGTGATGTTACAGTGACTGCGACGTGTTTCTTAAGCTGTAAACTAAACTAAATAACGTCACTGTACTGTGATGGAACGCGCCAATGCTGGTGTTAGCTTCGTCTTAGCTACACATGTCTACGTGTGCTCTCTGTGTGAGTGTCATTAGTGTAACATACAAAAGCACCAAATGAATTAGCTCCAAACCCAAAACAAAAATCCACACAAGTCAGCAACGCATTGACTGTTTATTCACAGCGTAGTACCTGATGAGTGGCACTACGATTTAAAGTACATTCAAAAGATAACATGTTGAAAAGTGCATGTTAACACACACAATTTGGTGAT